CTTAAAAGGATGGTTTGTTATATCTTTCATTTAAAATTTTTAAAAATAAGAAATTTTTTGACACTACAAAGCTTACGACTGATAAAAGATGGTTAGAAATATTATCAAACCAGAGAAAGGAAGTCAGCATCAGTAGTAATAAAAATAGAAATATTGATAAGTTAAAAAGAAGATTGGCAATTTATACCAAACAATAAATATTTGAATTTCCTAGAAAATTTTGTGCGTAATGAAAAAGAATAAAGTACATTAAGTATGAAATTAATGTATTTTTCTACAATAATCATGACAACTTAAGATAAAGACTTATATTTTTAACAAAAGGCATACTTGCCTGATAGTAAGAACTAAACCAATAATTAACTTTTAAGAGAATGTAATATGAATTTCAGATGCTCAAAAATTTTAACAAAAATGAATATAAAGATTTCATATGTAAAAAGAAAACATTTCTAATCTTACAACAGATACAATACTTCATAATACTAACTTTTACATAAAATTTAGAAAAATAAAATGTAGCATACAGGAGATCTTAACAACTAACTAAACTAAAAAATAACTAAAGTAATGGTGTACTTCAATGACAAAAAATTGATAAGTTTAGATTTTTTCTGAAGCTTAAATCAATGAATAAAAAAATGAAGTATTCGAAACTTAGTCTTGTGACAAACTCCAGATCATGAAACATTTAATTTTGAATTGTAGGAACTGATGAAGGCAGAGGCCTTGAAAATATTTTTCCATTAAAAAATAAAATTAGACTTTTAATGAAAATGCTTGGATAAAAATGCAATATTAATTTCATTTTTAACCATTTTGAAACATTTATATTTATGCAGAAAAAAAAAGATCAATTTAAAATATAATTGTATCATCATCTTGCATCAATTTATTTCATGTAAAAATTATTACATTTGAATTAAACAATTTGATTCATTCTAATTGTATTATATAACCTAAACTTTCAGCTTATATAATATAAATTAATATGTAAAAATTATTTTTGATTAATATTAGTCAAAAATATCTAAATAAATTCCATCGACAACAAACTTTGTCCATATAATATAAAAACTCAAAAAAAATAAACATTTTATGTATATACTATGAAATATTAATGAAATAAAATTTTTATTAAATGAAAGATATAACAGTATTTAATGATGTATTTTTTATAAACTGATTTTTAACATTGCATTGTAAAATGTCTACTGCTTAAGCTAAATCTAACAAAACTATTTTTAAACAAATTCAAGCACACATATGTAAAAACATTTTATGATTTTGCTAAATTCATGTGCAATTCCAATATAAAGAAAGCATCAATGAATTTTTATTTTTAAAAACGAGTTAATTGTCTTAAAGCAATAATGGATCATTTAAAATTAAGTTTAATAGCAGAGAAGAATAGTTAGGCTTGTAATAAATATTAGAGTGTAATATTTATTTAGGTATAGTTAAAGTTTTGATGGAATCAGGCCAAGTCATTCACAACTGGCATGCAAGTTGTGTTGAATCCAATGCTTTAAGTGTTGCCATCAAATATACATTCAGATATATCATCCACAAACAGTAAATACACTTATTGAAATGCAGATATATATTCAGATAACTAAACAAGTGAACTAATCAATTTGAAATCTAATAGAAATATTATAATATTAGTAAATGAAAAAATTTTTATATTAAATGATAAAATTTGAGTTAATATAATATTTAATAGTTCATGCCAAACATGGGTCTTTTTGATTTTATTTAATATAAATGCAACTTGAAATAAATACTTTTAATTATAAAATAATAAATATTTTCTTATATCTCAATTAGACATGTAGACAATTGTCCTTGTTGCCTCAGTCAGATTACAAAAAGCAGCATTTGATATTTACAGAATATTTTTAAGAATTTTGCACAAAATCGCCAATTCTTATCAATATTTTCTCTGGTCTACTAATGAAGAACCATATCTACAGTTAAAGATGAAGCATAATATTAAAAAAAAGTAATTTTTAAATAGAGAAATATGAGTTCTTTTATTGCATTTAGTTATTTTAAGAATTAAGAAAATGTAATTATAAAGAAAACAATCTGATAAAAATATTTTCTATAAATGATTCTTTAATCAGTTTAAAGTATAATTGAAAATAATTTAATGCACTCAAATTTTCAAAATTTTTTAAAATATAAGTAAACACTATTTTTACAGATGTTATCTCATGTTCTTGAAATTGTCTACAAGTATTAAAATTTAATTTCTGTATTCATTTATTAATTATAACATATAAACTAGCTACATGACATTAAAATTATTAGTTAATTATCTGTGAATATGTAAATCTGAAAATCACAATGTAAAATGCATATTGTAATTCTTGTATTCAATAAACACCCAAAAGTGGTCCTTTTAATAAATTTAATATAATTGTATTTCATGAAATCTTATTCTGACCAAATAGAATAGATAAATATGCAAAAGTTTTTCATTTTATTTTCTCAAATTTTAAAGCTAGAAAAAAAATTATTCAAATAAATCTACTACACTTAGTACTAACCAGAGGAAAAATAAAAAAACATTTATAAAAATTTATAATTATATATAAACAAAATTTAATTATATGGCAACATTATTAGTGATCATACCAATCACTATGTAAAAAATCATCTGTCCTTTAGATTTTGCATTTTTTAATATAATTTTAATATTGAAAATACTTAAAATTTCTTTTGAAATAATTTACTTCTAATATGATTTATTATGATAAAACTGTTGCATAACTTATACTATATTGTATATTTTTATATATCTGATTAAATTATTAAATTGTTTTTGAAAGAAAGTTTAACTCATTTAATTGTATTACTTAAAAATATCCTTTAAAATTAATTTGTGCTCAACACAGAATTTCAAATAGATTGAGAAAGGCAACAAGTTATTAACTAGCTTCAACACAGAAGAGGATCTAAGCAATTTACTATGCACTTTAATTTATTTCAATTTAATATCTGAAAAATAAGATTTATGCAAATTCATTTTTTCAAATATTGAATTAAAAATTTTTATATATGTATAAATTTTGAAAAAATATTTTAAAAATCAACAAAAGTACTAGAATTATTTTATGAATAACTTTTTTTAAAGTTGAAATATTTTCTTGATACCTGAAAAATATTTTCATATATAAAATTAATTAAATAGCATTTATAGAAAATAGCAGAAACTTTGTTGTTTAAGTACGAACAGAAGAGGAACATTATATTTATTTTTTAATATTTCATAAATTAGACTGTCAGTAAGCTATATTAATGTTGAATATCAATTTGAAAAAAAAAACTCAAATTACTTTATATTTACTAATGATTTTTTTATTCAGTATTTCTATATATAAACAATACACCAAATATAATTTAATAAAAATTTTTTGTAATTAATTTCACTACTGCTTAGTGGAGTATGTATGAAACTTTTTATACATAAGATTTATATGTAGTGTACAGTACAATACTTATTTTATCATTATATTCATTCTTGCTCAACCAAATATTTCACTTATTTATTCAGATTAACTATCAGAATATATGAAGTTTCCAACTGTTCTATAAAATTACTTTAATGCATAATATTCTCAACTATAGCTTAAAACTTCTAGAAATAAATGTGTGACATCTGTTTTGATAAATATTTAAATTAGATGGTGATCATATTTAAATAAAATTATTTTTAAAAATTAAAAGATTAACAAATAATCATTATAAATTATTCAAGTAGTCATTGCTTAATTAAATATTTATTGTTTTAAACAAATTATGTAAATATAGTAAATTATGATTATATAAAAGCTGAATTTTTTTTTATTGATTTTAAATGATCTCTTAATAAATTTAACAAAAAGAAATATGGATAGTACACAAATGTGGAATGACAGTTTCATGTTAAACTGAACTTTCAATTTAACAATGTCACTTAAATAAATCAATGAACTGCAATTTACATAGAGTACCAAAGATAACATTAGATTCCATTCTGTTTTTAGAAAGGAGTAATGCTCATAGAAATTATGCAAATCACAATTACTTCTTTTATAAAAAAAATCATTTATATCCAGAAAAAAAATACATGTAAATAGAAGTGCTTTATCTCAATTTTTGTAATAAAAATTTAAATTATTAAAAAAATATTGAGAATGTAATCATTTTCTTCTTGCACTTGATACACTTCATACCTATAGCTTAAGTCAAAAATCAATTTTCAATTTATATATAAACATATAATAACTGTATATTATAGTTTCACGTTTTCATTTCTGAATTTCATTCTAAAAAAAAATAATTATGAATATTTTTGTTTATAAAAATTTCATTAAATTTTTTTTATTAATACAAGTGAAAAAGAATTTTTCATATTATACATTACGCATGAATCGTCAGATTTATTTAAGAATTTAAGTTTTTCACAAAGAATATCGTGTCCAAACAAGCTTGTTAAAATGCCAGCAGGAAAACGGGAACGAAATCGATTAAATCGAGGATGTTTTTCTTAGCGTTTTACTATTAAGAATGTATCGGATTCGGAAACAAAATTAAATATCGAGAAAACAGAATAGAAGAAACAACGTAACAAAAAAAAAATAGAAGTTTCGGTTATGCGTTACGCATAAAATGCAATCAAATTAATTATTTATAATCCAATTTACGCATATGAAAAAGTTACGATAAGCAGCGAATTAAGGCCATATATGTGTGTACTGTATATAATTACTTTTCTGAAAGCTGAATTATCCGGAGCATACTCTTTTTTTAACGCTCTTACATAAACAGAGCAGAAATGGAAAGATTTATTAACGTGTCATTATAATACGGGTTATAAAACTGGGGAAAAAAGTTGCGAACTCGGCTCAATCGATGAGTTTCGATATCTTAGCAACCAAACTCGATGTCCAGGATAAACGTTAGGCCTAAGAATTAGAACGAAGTTATTTACATCTCACTAAATAACTTACCTTCGTCCGGTTTCATGCTCTAAATTTGCTTTAGAAGCCCTCTAACTTTAACTTTCGACTAAAAATAACCGATCGACTCCAACTTTATTGATTCCGAAAGCATTTAAAGCACTACATCTCTTCGACACGTCTGACTCCGACCGATCATCCCTCTATACTGATGGCCAGCTGATGAGCTCCGACGACGAGGCTACCAGTCACTTGACACTGTTACCCACCTATCACGCGTCGACCAATAGAACCTCGCCTTAAACATCCACTTATAGCGGTAGGCGTACTTGTTACGTCACGTTTGAAAACCGCACCTTTTTACGTACCGTCCAATCACGTTTGACTAATCTATTGAACACGTGGGGTCACGCTTCAGAGGAAGATCAGCTGTTTTAACAGATAAATAATACCAGTTTTCTTGTATATTAATCTGTTATAAAATTATACAGTATTAATCGTTAAAAATTTCTTTAAATATTATAAATATAAATGCATTTAATGTAAGATTTTAAATATTATATTCTCCAGTTTTTTTTAAATGAAAGTATAAGATTTTTAAGCGATTTTTTTATACTTTTATTATACTTTAAACTGGTTATGTGATTACAATTTTTGAGTTATAAGGGTTTGTTTACGTAATTGCAGACGTGAATAAAAATAATGAAAGTTCAGTTCGAAGAATACGATTCTTTTACGCCTGAATCACGTGGATAAGTAGAATGAGTAATTTCCTGTTAGAAATTGTTCTTTGTTTGCAAATTTATTTCGTAGAACTCTTTCTAATTTTTTCAGATGTAAGAAAAAAGATAATTTTAAAGTTTATTATATTTGTTTTTTTAGCTGTCTTATAAATCGTGTTATAAATTCAGTTCAACATTATTGAACGGATAAAAAAATATGATCTCTTAATATACTGGTGGAATATTTATTCTGTGAATGAATTATAAACTTATTCGAGTAAAATTTGAATTATTTCTTAATTATAATACAATGGAAATGGCGTTTAAAACTGAATTTATTTTATAAACTCCAATGGGTTTTGTGTATCGATTTGATATTTTTAAAACTTCCGCCTCTGTGAATTTTAAATCATTTCAAAACACAAAACATATTTTCCTGAATTTCTTCGATCGAAACCGATGATTTCGTCTAAAAGAGAAAACAGTCATCGCTATAGCAACTAGTCACATGATTCAGATTTAGTTATTTTAAAATACGCCTTATAAAAAAAATTTCAGCTAAGTTATTTTCACTTGGTGATAAAATAATTAAACAATTGTATATTTATAGTTTATTTCTTTTTATTTAGTGAAAAATATTAATTTTAAATAATATTCTTTATATATCAATAGGCTATAGTTTTTATTATTCTATAGGCGGGGTGGTACCGTTAGAACAAAGAAAGGATGCTTCCAGTGTTGTGTACCTGTATGTGTATGTCATTCAAAGGTCTATAAAATAAAATGAAACAGCGCACCGCTCATAAAACTAATTAGAAAAATCAATTTTGCATTATTTTATCCTATTAATGTAAATAACATATATTATTTACAACTAGTGAAAAATTATTTATATGGAATAATGTACTTTGAAATATTCTTTTTAGGTAGAAAAATCGATAGAAAACGATTCGACCGTGTTAATGAACTTCCATTATTGTTTATTGACTCTATAAAGTAATAAATAATAATGCTAATATAATCAACCTTAATGAATAAATTATACACTGTGTTATTATCGTTAAGAGTTATTTGTTAGAAGTTAAAAGCTTAGAACTTTTTATTAGCCTATAGTTCTCAATATTCTATATTTATAACGCCAACTCATCGAACTTATATTTCGATCATGTGACTATTTTATTGCAACTTTTTTTGCATCATTATTATAATACCAGACCGTAGAAGTAATATATATTCGTGTCATACTAAACTTTTCTATCACTCATTATTTATATTTTCGACTAAATACAGATAATTTATAAATAATTTAATATTTTTCTAATCTAATAACCTAATATTGTAGCATTTTCTATTAAAAAAAACTGTAGGTCTAGGATATTTAGTAACAATAAACTAACCATGCCCTATATCTAATGTGATATATTATATACGAAGTATAGCTTGTGTATAGGCTTTATTAATTTATACTGTATATAGACGTATCTGAATAACACTTTAGCACAACTGTTGAATGAAAATTAACATTTTGTAAAATACCGAATGTATAATAAAGAATTAATGCAGTGAAATTTGATTTAAATTATTTTAAAAGAAGTATCATGATATTGCGTTTGAAAGGATAATAAATATTTCTTTTCATATCTTAACCGCACGACACAGATGGACTCAAGATTATGTTTTTAGGACACATTATGTTTGCGACCTTATTAGACCATTGGTTAACGAAATTACGTGACATAAAAATATAATCATGTAAGTAGTTTACAATGTATACTTTTTGTTTCGCTATCGAAAAAATATAGTTTTATTTCAACCAAAAAATAATTAGTTGAATAGAAAATTGCCTTCAACTGAGAGAGAGAAAAACATTTTTTTTCCTCATCATATTTAAAAAAAAATACGTTTTCCTAAAATTGTTAAGAATCTATGAATTATTTAGGTTAGATGTAAACTGTAAAATAAATTCTTCACTATAAAGCTAACATTTATGATACTATGATTAATGATACAAAGCGATTCAATTTTCACTTCCATATATTCATCCACCGCAATGGACTTTTGAAATATGATTATTAACATTTTTATCATATACTTAGGGTGTAATTTATTCAGTAGAAAATGCAAATATTTATCTAAATTGTATTATTAAACACGATCCATAAACCGCTATAAAACTGTTTGGTAGCCTTTGTTCGTAACATAAAATCTTTCAAGCGAATCTAAGTTTTCCAGGAAACAAAAAGATTTTATAACAAAAACTATCGAGCAAATCCAAAGTTTTCGTTTGAGAACTTTTGAGCAAATCAAAGGTTTTAAAATAAAACTCAAATAAATTCTCCTCCCTATAAAAATAATAAACTAAAAACGACTTTTCTCCTCGACTGAATTGTATCTAAATTTTTATAATGGAAACTCCTATATAAACATATGCTGTACTTTATTGATAACAGCTTCTCTCCCAACTTCGAACACAAAATTACCCAAAGAAACCTTATCTGAAAATTAATTAGATTTTTTCATATTTACTAAAAATTGTGTAGTATTTTAATGTGCTTCTAGTATTAATATATATAGCCTATATATATATATATATATATATATAATAAAATTATTGGTTGTCGTGACAAGATACTTAGTACCAGTATCGCCGTTAGCAAGAGAGATAGAAATGGCAACGCATTATCATTGACGTTTTAATATTATCTACAAATTCTATTTATACTTTGGATTGAGTTGATAATGTTATGCAAGGAGTCTGAAGTTGAAACGGTTCCAATAAAGTTACAAGTGTGTGTTATGTTGTAAATAAAGGCTCGGTTGCAACGATTTTTTATTTGTAAACATTGCTTTATAGTGAATGAAAATAAATTTTCGAATATATTGTATTTTCATACTTGAACTGTTATTTATGTAACTTTATATAATTCATTTTAAAATGTTAAATGTTTTATTCAAGGACACGAGAATTTGGCAATAGCAACAATTATACAAGAGTAACGTTGTAAAAAGGACTTGGCACTTCAAGGACTTATACATGCGCATACACCGTACGAGATATTGCGTGATGAATGTCAAATTCGAACAGCTGATCACGAATATCCGTTTTGCATTTCATCTTTTCGTCATTTCCTGGGTATGGCTGAAGTTTGTTTTCGTCCGCAATTGTTCATCCAAACACGTGACCATTTTGGCATCAATTTACATAACCAAATTCTCTCCCTCGTTATTCCATGTCCTCGACAGTAAAGGAAGTTTTTAAAAGAATTTATTAAGTTAAAATTGGATGCAAAACGTACCAAAATACTGAATCGATTACGAATTCGTTTATTTTTAGAAAATGAAGCGTACAATGTACTCGTTTGCTTAATAAATCGTTTATTTAACAAAGTTCAAATGATGTGAACGGTATCATTATGCTTCAGTTTATTTAAGTATGATATGACGTCTTTCTTGATTAGATTTATTTATTTATAAATTGTCATATTTTATTGATAAAGAATTTCTAATAGAAGATATGAGCAATGTTTATGTTTATGATATATTTGACTGATAGACTATCACTTTTATTATATATTTAGAATAAATTATACGAAAAACAATAATCGCAGGCTAACGGTATAACATTACAATTTTATTTCATAGCCTTCACTTAGGCAATTTTACTGTTATATTAAATTAAAACTAGTTTAAAAGGAAAAAATTCAACTAAAATACGCTGTAGGCTAAATACGTAGTAGAAGGATTTCTTTAAAATAATTTTCTTTTTCAGCAACGTAAAAATATTTTAATTTATTTAAATATATACATCTGTAGGCTGTCAGTTGAACTCAAAACAATATACTGAATGTAGAAAGTTTAAACAGAAAGGAAAGTTTGAAATTATTTCAGAAAAAGTTTTTAACATGTTTCCTTTTTTTTAGTAGTAGTAAAATTTCGTCAAAATTAAACTAGCAGAAATCATTTTCACTATTAATTGTTTCTTCTTACGTTGAGTGACTTCAATGGATTTAAATCAGCGATAATGATTTTTCAATAATTACATGAATTAAAAAAAGAACAAAAAAACAAAACAAAATCGAATAGGAAAGAATTAACCCAATATAAACTCTCTAATTTGTTGAATCTAGTTTATTAGATCATGTCTTGAAATTCCCTTACACTATATTAAAAGGAAATTAAAACTGAAAATTTGTTTAACCAACCACAACGGTACACTATCCCCCGCAGCATAATACCGTTTATATGAAGCATCGAACATTTCAATGCTCTGTTAATTGCATTAGTCTAAATTTTGGCATTCTAATGATTCGTTTAACAAAAATTTTCGGTTTTTTAAATATACCTTTTACTTATTTAAGTACTCAGACCTATTTCACGAGTCCTATTCTGGTTAACAAAATTCTATTGAATAGAATTCCTATCCGCGGATATTGCGTGAAAATTATAATCTAATGATTGCTATTTTTATAGTCAATTAGTTAATTTAATAACGATTTTATATATTACGTTTTAAGCTAGTAAATAAAGATTAAATTACAGAATGATAACAAATACCAGTCTTGTCCGCAACC